TATACGGTGTTTTAATTAAGGGTAAACAATAAGCGGATTCTCGCCATGAGTGACGAAGTTAATCTAAGTCTGTAGTTTTCGTCACCCAACAAGTGAATCAAACACAACAAATTACTTGAACAATTTGATTGATTTCCAGAACTCCGACAATTTTCTGTTCTTAACTCAGCATCGTGTAATTGACAGCAAGAAGAATGTTAAATGCATCTGATTCTGCGAGTCATCGCACAGTTGGAACAGGTGCTTTCACCACCGTCTCGAGAGATCCTCCTTCTCGGTTACCATCTGCCATCGTTCGAACGAGAAAGAAATTCCACATTTCCAAGAGAACTCAAGAAGGAAATTTTAGTCTTCACGGGTACCTTCTGCCATCGTTCGAATGAAAAAGAAATTCCACATTTCCAGGAGAACTCAGGAAGGACATTTTGGGTCATTTTAGCTTATATAAATTATCTTTAAATCTCTAAATACTACATGGTAGTGTTATGGGGACATCTTTAGCTTAAACATGTGTCACTTGCAAATGAGAAAATTAGAGTATAAGTAAGAAAACGAGAAAAAATAATATAGTTCATTCATATTCTGAGGCATCAAAACACACGGACGTACAAGTCCAATATTCCGTTGGTAACGGAGAGCAAAATGTTCTCAAATGTAACACTGAAATTTCCCGATGAAATTTACCTTGCTTTAAGCCAAGATTACGTTTGGTATGCGATGCCCGTACGGCGTCCGCATACTGCCCGTAATACCCTTTATGTCGCCAAATGTTCAAAAGCACAACGAAGCTCAGTTTTTGTTAAAAATCAAATAAGAAATAAGTCAATATGACTGATATTGTCATTTATTAAAATGACGAAATGTAATATGATAATAAGTTACAAAATGGGGGATAGTAACAACATAAAATTAAATGAACGGTAACTCCAAGGCAAAAACACATGGATGGAAACCCATCAGAAGATGCAATAACAGCTCAACAACAATACATCCTTGTGGACCTGCCGGCCAATAGGTTATCCGGTAACTCCAACAAGGCAACAACATACATATATATGGCAACGCTATAGTGACCAATCATAAAGGAGCATAACAGTTCACAGATAATATACATGTAGGCCATGTCGACCAGAAACCACAATGGCAAATATAGGATAACTGGTAACTACAATATAATGCAAGCAAATGGATAGTAACCAATTGCAAACCAGCAAAAAACAAAAAATATATAATTCACTGAAAATAAGTTACATAGCGTCCATAAAAGCCAAACAGCGTAAAAAACCTAACAACCCGGACAACGGGTCTGGTGAAAAGAATAAAAAAGTATTATAAGTATGTGAACTACACGTATAAAAATACAAATAAACATCATCGATGATTTATCACATAAATCTTAGAGGTAGTTGCAAATCACATCTGCAACTGAAGAAATGAAGAAAATAACGACTTACGCAATGTAAGCTACAATCAAGGTCAACAAAGTATATATAAAACAACACCAGAAGGCAAATAACAGTGTTAACAGGTTTATGTACACGTGAAGTAACAAGTTTATGAATTGAAACAAGTGACACAAAAGATATAATTGCAATTATAAATGAATTTAATTGCTACTTAACAGAAGCACATAGGATGAACAATTCTTCATCAGATCCACGGCTGCATTTAAGAGTTAGTGAATCGACAAAACATATAATTCAACTTGCTAACATAATGAAAAACAAATGGAAATATGTGATACTGGCCTGATCTAGATGCCATCCCAGCCTTGCTATTGAAAAATCTGCACAAACATTGCTTCAAACGCTGGTGCTGATCAGGGCCCCGTATTTTGAAAGCATCGCGTATTGCGAATTGCTGTATCAAATAGAGGCTACAATGTATTATATGGGACGAGTTATGGAATCGAGACACTTGCGCACGTGCCCAACATAGCGAAGCTTTCGAGATACCGGGCCCAGGAGGCATGATGGAGGACAAAAGGTTGCACAGAAAATTCAAGCATCAGTAGCGCGTACGGCAAAACAGGCTTCGTTGAGGAATGGGGTAAATCCTCCAAAGGAATGAAATTTGATGAGTGATGTCCATATGATCTTGCAGCCACCAAGTAGACAGACGATAAAATTTTAAATTATAAATTAAGTGATCATCAAGTGAAGCTGATAAAACAGTTTAAGTGGACTCTAACTAATAAAGGCTAATAAAAGCATCCGAATATCTCATCTTCTTTGGATTTGACCTTGCCTCTCGATTTCAAACTTTTCTCAATACAAAAAGCACCTTTAACTCTTTAATCATTTCTGGCTCATAAATGACACTTTATATTTCCTCTTCCTTGTAAGGTTTCACCTTGTATACAGGAGGCGTTCTGCCCAGCTTTTCCGATATGATCGATGAAGATGTCTTGCGTCCAACCCTGCTCGTATCCCTTCTCAAAAGAGGTACGTGCTATATTTAATCTTACCGTGTCGCCTATTTTAAAATTTAAAACTTGTTCTTTTTTTCTCTTCTATATAAGCTCTTCCATAAATTTCGTGGGTTGGGGCACTGAAGTTAGTGTCTAGTTTCCAGTTTCGTTTTTCAAAAGAGCAGGGTGTTCAGGTCTTTCCTCGCTGTGCGGTGAGGCCTAGTTGACTTTGGGTGGGGTTGAGGGTGGGCAGATGATGGTTTGGAGGGGGGGGGCGGGGCGGTCAGTGGGGTCTCCCTTTCTAGTTTAAGGTATAATGGTTTCTCGGCATCAGAATCGTTTTTGAAAAAGTCAGCAAAATTAAAAATTATACTTCAAACTACAAAGGGAGTCCCAGTTTGGGGGGGGGGGGGTTCCCCTCCTAACCCTCATCCCCGCCACCCCCACCCACCTAAACACCCTGTTTCTCTTCGCAAAACGATTCTGGCTTCTCAGACACTTGTTTCTGGTTGCCAGAATCGTGTTTGAAAAACGAAACTGGAAACTAGAAACTGGACACTAACTTCAGTGTCCCTCGTGGGTTTACATTGAGAGGGGCCATAGCAATGATGTGTTTGGCATGGTTATTCTCAGTCTTTAACTCGCCCAGCGCTGTTACATATTTTAACGTATTGCTTGCTGTAAAATATTTGAACATGATTTTTTCATTCTGTTACAGCGTTCAACAACTGAACTTTTTCAATTTATGTGTTAAAAAATCCATTGTTCATTGGTCCTGAAAGAGTGCTTGAAATTTCTTGTTTTGTCCCAGCATCTGTTTGAAGTATTGCTGGTTTTCTATCATCAGCTGTAATCGTTTTAAACGCCTGTAATACACTGTCAGCATTTTTTTTATGTTGATAGCAACAACCCAGTAAAATTTTGAAAAAAAAAAAATCAATAAATGTTTAAAAAAACATGTCCTTGTAGTTTTTTGATATTGGATTTTGATATTGTGCTGAGATCAGCCCCTGCCATTGTTGATATTTCCGTCCGACGTCGCGTTTCGTTTCCTTACGAGTGCAAATAATGTAAATGTATATTGGTTTGCCAAAAACTCTCTGATTTATTACGGGTAATTTTTTATGTTATGATATAAATTCTTNCAGCTTTATGTTATAAATACGCTGATCCCAGGGTGGGTGCCAGGACCCGCGAAAGCACGAGCGAGCACACGAGCACGTGCATGTTCTCCCCTTAGGGGCGGGGGTTCACCCCTTATAACCCGTAGTTATTGTTTTGATAACAATATTCAAATAACAATCCACCAAGACAAAATGTAAATGATAATACGACAAAATAATATTTTATAAATCGTTAGAGAACTCGGATAGATGTGAAATTGTAATATTTCATTTCCTTCCTGAATGATTCTCTTTCCTTAGCAAATCATCAAAACATCACCTCTTTATGGCATAGGTTAAAACGAACTAAAATCAATGTGCTGCGATTATCTCGTAACCGCGGCTGTCACATAATATGACATAATACAACACTGACATGATACAGTGATCGATTTCCACAAAAGCACATTTAAAGAGGAAATATTATTGAAAGGCATAGAGCAGCTTGGCGTTTAAAACTCGAATATAATCTTTGACCATCTCTTTTTTAGCTACAGTTTCAACTGCACGATGTCTGTGAATATTTTGGGGGATTTTTTTTTTTTTTTTTTTTTTTTTTGGGGGGGGGGGGGTGCTTTCCCACTTTATGCACTAAAACTGAAGTGCGGAGTATATTTAGAAACCAAAAACAGCTATGCATTTTATTACGTGTTGTTTGACGGGCTGGGTTGTGGTAACAACATCTTAGCGAGATAATGGATGTTTAAACCCAGCAATTAGTCTGCACGAGGTCTAGGGCCCCATTCAATGCGCTTGAAACAAAAGGCGTTTTAGCTTTGAATACTGAAGAATGCATTTGATTGCACCCCCCCCCACACACACACACACACGCTCGCGCACACGTGCGCGCGGGCTCTCCTCATCCGAAATCGCATCCTTACACCAGATCGAATGAAGATCGGAATAATGGTAGAATCACATTACTGTGGCTGAATCCAAGAGTCACCTCATCAAAGATAAAGCTAAGGTCGAAGATGAACTGAGCGTTTTAGACGTCATTTATTCACATTGCCTTTATATTAGATTTATCGGCGAAAATTATACTTTTAATTTCCAGTCCCTCTATTGCATATGCTTTATCAGGTAAACTGCCCTACACAGTCCTATTGTATTTACACCATATATGTAAAACTTCAGCCTGTTATTGTAATTTTGAATGAGTTATCGTCATTTTTATTATTACCATAAAGCGGACTTTACTGACACCGTGCTGAATGCGGCCCAGCAGCTTGTTAAGCCAACTGCGTGATTATCGTCTGCTTCTGCTGGTATCACGTGACTACAGAGACAGATCTGAACGCACTTTTGGACAGATCGTTCACAACATTCTCTTCCAACAATGCATCTCAGCGCCTAGAATCAACTGCGTTTATGATTCATTAATACCACCGAGACACCTGAAAGTTCTGGCAAGCTGGAAAACGTTGAGTCACAGCTCACGTTGTTTTCGCCATGACGCGTCACAGTAGCTGTCTCACCTAAGTGTGCCACCGTGTGCTTTAATACGCGTGTGTTCAGCAGAGCGTTATTGACAGTAAACCTACGCCAGCTAGCATATCAGCTGGCATATGTGCAGCTGTAAGAGAAATAAGTAAATGTGTATATGTGCTATAATATACATATACCAATATGCAGCAGTGCAGTCGTTGGTTGGGGGGCATGTATGAGAGTCTTACGCGGACCAAGAGACAGTATCTATTGCCACAGGAGGGAGGGAGGCAGACGGTGGACGAGACGGAGACAGCCACCCCTCCACGATGGGGTGTAGGGAGTTCTTTGCTACTTGGGACATTTCTGGTTTCTGGACATCTCGTCGTTAATATCGCAGGTCCGTCAGCTATTGTGTCAATGGTCGTAGCGGCTCTGGCGGCCACCCTGTCTGGTAAGTGCCATTTGTGTATCTTTTCAGTCATTCTCTTATTACGCATTTCTTTCTTTTTTCTATATTTATTTTATTATAGGTTCCTTTCCGTCCTTCATTCCTTTCTACACCCCTTTCTACATCACTTCCTACCTTCCTGCCTTCGTTTCTTCATTCCTTGTATCCACACCGTATTCCTTTCTTCACTCATTCCTTCCTTGCCTCCATACTTTATTGTTTCCCTCCTTTCTTCCTCGCCTCCATACTTTATTCATTCCTCCCTCCCTCCCTCCCTCCCTCTTCCTTCCTTCCTTCCTTCCTTCCCTCTTCGAAAGACTTTAATTTATATGTTATTAACGCGCGTTCTATGCACGGTGTCACTGTTCCATGACTCGCAACATTCATCGCAGTATCTCTTCCAGTTGCATAATAAGTGCCGCTGTCATGCATATAAAGCACCTGCATGTACAATAACTCTACCTGCTCCGCACATTTCATGCATTTAGTGCATCTGCAAGTCCATTTATTTGAACAAAACAACTGGTCAATAATCCGGTAAAATTGATCAAATAGGGTTTACAGTTCGTAAATGTAGCCATTTCATCTCACGAGAGCGTTAGATCAGTTAAGGTTATATTTTGTCGCTTTTAACGCCACGCGTTCTACTTGTCCATTACTGTAACTTTGAAAGTGTCATGTATCTTATTATATCATAGGGCTCATTTCCAATGAAGCTATCGGTCTACGTAGATCGATCCAACGAAAGCTTTAATTGAATGTAATCAGATATTAACACACTTTCTGGTATTAAGTAGAATACAGAAAATCGGGCGATTACGAGAATGTTTGAAACAAGAGAAGGCGTAGTAACCTGTTAATCTGATTGCATTCAGCGAAAGTCCCCACAACGTAGACCCATAGTTCCATTGGGAATGAGCCCATAGTCGCCCAAATGAGGGCATGTCTTTGAGTAAGCACTATGGAATACATGTGTATTATTAACACATGAAAAGTTCCCTTGACTCTGTGAGCACTTCTACGTAGAAATATCTTTGAAAATAAATTCCATACTTTTTGATCCCTTAGCGTTTGTGCAGTATCATTCATTTTCATTAAACCCCAAAATGTTACAGTAGCTGATTGTTTTGCTTCACTAATATTAGGTCAATAAATAAATAAATAAATGACACATTCATTTGTACAATTGGAATGGTTTTATGTCGGCTTCATCCTTTTCATTAAAGTCATTAAAATCCAAATTGACAAGGACGGAAGAGCTACATGTTTTATTATTATTATTATTATTATTATTATTATTATTATTATTATTATCCCATGGCTCTTCAAGACCTTTTCTACTCACGTCGCCGTGTATAGCATATAAAATCTGTTTGTTGTGTAATCTACAGTATATAACGTCTGACGTATGGTTTAATATCATTTTGATGTAAAGATTGTATCTTGCTTTCTCTTGTCAGATAACATTAGTGCTGATATTAAGTCAAGGGCTTGTAAGCAGGGGCGGATCCAGAGATATTTTCTGACAGTCTTCCAAATTATCTTTGTTGATCCATCCTCATTTTTGACCGTCTTCCGACAGAAAAAGTTAGATACCCGTCTATATAAAATCTTGAAAAGACTTGAAATTCTGAGCGTCTTCCAGAAGACCCAGAAGACGGCCTAAATCCGCCCCTGCTGTAAGTATTCTTTTGCCCCTTTACATCAGCAACAGTGTAACAAAATGTGGTCCATCAATGTATGTATTTTTCTATGGAAATGAATATATGTTCGAATATGTATATATTCTCAAGTCTTGTATTAAGTTTACAAGCCGTATACTGCCATGACACGTTCGAAGCAAATTGACTATAGGCGCCAATACACGACGACAGCGTTTGTCTAAACCTGTTACGAAAACAAAAGCAGTATGGAAATCAAATGCTTTTCTTTGGTTTCACTTTTTTTTTAATAATCCTTTTTCCAAAGCGCTGATGGCCGTTTTGGGCCCGGCTCATTCCCAGGCCTTTTAGCGCCATGTTCGCTCCCAGATTCCAACCTTGTGGTGGCTTAGAAAATGTTTTTTTCCTTCGAATAATTGCGTTGATTTTGTCACTTGGGATTTAATCTAGAACGCTAATGTGTTCTCCGAGCTCAGAGTTTCAATTGGCAGCGCCCGCATGTATGGAAAGTCAGACTACAATGAGTCAGAAATTCAACTGAACGCGAAACAGGTGGTGATTAATAATTCAAGGCCCAGGCTTTGCACGGCCGTGTATATTGCAATGTTCCTACACCTTCAGAGCCCAACCGGTCGGGTTTACACGTTTGAACATCGGGCAAAACACGCCGAAACAAAACTGCCAAAACTACCGTTTCTGAAATAAAATCAATGCCATCATATAAAAGTTTAAGTGATATCATCTGTAGTAATTGTTATACTGATAACAGGTCCTCATTTTGTCGGAAAAAAACTGCCATAAAACGGATTTCCCCTGGGTAAACGACGATTTCCCATACTTTCCCATGGTTGATGACTCCGTACCGACATGTCAATTATGCCATGTATTTAACAGTGCCAACAAAGATACTTTAGTGTCCCTCTCCAACTTTATAATCAAATCATTTAAGAAAAGAAGTGAAGTGGTTGCTCTGCTTGGTAACTCTTAGCATATCCCTTAAAATGTCAGTGTATGGTCCCACTGTTGTGAGAAGTGACTCGGCAGTGGGACTGAACATGGCACAATATTTATATCTGTGTAACTTATTTACTTATATGTCTTATGTAATTGTCATTAATCGTAATTATCAATGTCATCAAACAGCCATGTAAACAGCTATGTAACGGTGGTTTTAAGCTCTTTAAAAACATATTCTTTTTGTGTAACATGTTTATAGTATGTTTATGGTAAATTTATAATCACACCAAGGTTTATCTCAATGCTTAGATAGAATATTTTATGAGTAATTTTACTAGTACTTATCTTCATTATA